TGCTCCCTACCCGTTGCGCTCTGCTACCACGTTTGAGCATGACTCCATACATAAATGTAAAGACGCTTCCACGTTTCCTCGCGATAGCATGTGAAACGACCACGCGGGGATAAGACCCTCCATAACTCCTCAGAGAATCGTTCCGCAAATTCTGAAGGTAGATTTGAGTTCACTGTCCCAAGACGCGTACAACGGTGTGCAGCTCATTGGAAATGGCCGGGCTGACCTGTTGACCTTTCCTGGTTAGCAGATTTTTGTCCGTTTCATTTAGAGTTGCTCAGCGCTTTTTTCTTTTCGAGTTACATAATTTTATGAACAGAATCGGCGTTAAACTCATCTCTGTACGTAGTACAGCATGGGGATGACTGGAATAGCTTTCTCATTACGATGCTCAGGAATTTTCTCTTCCACTACGGACGAGAGCCTCTAACAATCTACCTACCACCTTGCCAAAATTTTCTAATCCCCCACCGATTTACCGAAAATTTTGTCAGATTTACTACAAATAGGGGGGGGGGCATACAATGCGCATTGAACGTGTAAAGGAGAAAAGTGAACTACCTGAAATTTTCTTCGCAGGTCGGAAAAAATTTCTTTTGAGGCCAAATACCACTCCCTATGTCGACCAAATGGATACCAGGAGACTCTCCTAACGATGCTGTACCCTGTCACTTCTCTTTTCATAATTATGCCATTTCAATCAAGGACTTGAATAGTTTTATTCAGATAAAACGAAGAGGGAATCATAAAAAAGTAGTATTTTGGACACATAAAGAATATGTTCCTCTTTCATCAATGTCCTGCTTGCAGTGTCCAGGGAGCACTTGGACTCCTATCACCTTCGTTTCTCCAACAAGTGCAATTAAATGGTGTTGATGCCAGTTTCGGCGATCGAATCCTCGTAGCGTTTGTCACTAGGCAGTTCCCTTCAACTCGCCAGCACAGTGTCGAAGCACTGCACAATAATACTGCTAGTTGGAGCCTGACATTGTGATGAGCAACAATAACCTCCTTCTAGTTGTGCGATACCATCTCACCCACCCGCTGTTTGTGCAGGACGAACATTACGAGCCAGCTTTTGGTTGATTGATTTATTATCGGTACAAACAATGCCGACTAAAGGAATAGGAACATATTGCGAACTAATATTCCCGATAACCATTAGACAATGGGATGGGGAGAAAAAGGGGGGGGGTGGTGTGTGGTGTGTTTTCCTGTAGAGGATGAACATTATGAGGTCTCCGTCGGCCGCAGTTTTCTCATTCCTGTTTCTTTGGACTTCTACACCACATCTTCCACATTCCGTTTTTTAGGGTACTACTCCACGCAATCACTGGTTTGATCTGAGCAGACCATCTTCCTTTATGACACCCCATTCGATAATCCAGCCCTGATTTTTACAACTAGAGTTCCGTTTCAGTCCCAGCGATGTAGCTCACGGTTCTATCCCTTTTCCTTCCTTGCCATTATTCTATATGTCTCCACGTGTTTGAATGAGATGACCTAAATAGTTGCGGGGTAAAGTCGGTCAAGCCTATGGCTCAGTTTATTCTCATTCCAAAAAGTGTATCTCAGTAACAAACAGTGGGAGCTAGTAAGCGCGTGTTACAGAAGGAGAAGCGTTTGGCCTTTTGCATGTTTTCGGTCTCATCAATCGCTCCATATAGTTTCCAGGGTAACTAAAATAAATGAGGTGTAGTTATCAGAAATGACAATGAGGGTGATTTCTGAGTAAATGATTGGCGGTGGTGGGGCAGAAGATGATCATGTGGATTTTGCTAGCGAAAACAAATAGTGAGCTTCTTTTGTGACATGAATGAGAATGGAACTGATCATTCTCCTCTACGGTGCATGCAATCCTCCTTACAGAAGTATTCGCTCATTTGCTGAGTGTGCTTGCTGTACCCTTTTTGTTGCACGTTTCAAGGCTCAGTCTCAGTTTCCCAACTGCTGCCCTGCTGTGTCAGCAAGCGGGCACGGCGGTGCAATTCTCAGGTGGTGTGACGCAAGGATGACGCGAAACTGTCGAAGCCTTTTCTTACGACGTGCAACTTGGGCTCAGTGCCAATCAGTGGCGTAATTAGGCAACCACGGGACAATGGGTGTGTACAGACTGTAAACCGTTGGTTTGCTTTGCTACGTAATGACTAGTCTGGTCGCGTGTAGCTTTTGATTTACCCCTCTTACATCTTGCGATTTCGTCTTATCGGCCGACTTAAAGAAGGCTCTAAGCGCGTGACCCTGGCAAGTATCGAGTAGAATTCGGTTCCCCATGGTTTAGTATATACCAGAGTGCTATTCTTTTTCGATTCCATACTCTGGGGAGCACTCCTACAACTGAAAGGCGTTCGGTTTTCACCACGAATTGCAACATGATCGTAAGGAACTAGTAAATACAAGTTGTTTGACATGCGGTGAACTTTTTGGGACTACTCCCACACAGAATCGTAGTGGCCTATTGAACGCGATGTGTCCTGAACAATGACTTGCGTGGGCCAGCCGATGTACGAGTTAGTGTTGTTATCCCCCCAGACGAATCTGGTACCAACTTTCAGGAATGGTAGTCAGCAGAATCAGCCATAGGTCTTCAGGCGATCATGAGTTGGGATTGTTCCCCCATTTGCACTTGAGAAACCATCGCAGGGCGTTTCTTGATTGACACTGCGGTGTGCGGATAGGATGTCGTTAGCCGTATTTTAGGCACTCGCGAACACATATCTGATTGTTTGCTGAGTTGCGATGTCGACTATTCTAGTGGTGTGTCGGTTGACCCGAGTCTCAATAGCGCAATTGTCGTGACCCCGACTGGGAATGTGTGGTCGCTGTGCTTGTGCGTTGCAGAAAGCATTGACTAATTACGTGAGGTCGGATACTGAGCATCCTTCAGCGAACCTCAGACTGCTTATTAGAACGTAATTTCTGTCACCGTCGTTTCTCTGGTGTGAGCTCTGACGTAGGTAGTAAAATCCTTTTATAAACATGTGTTTGCGAGGTTAATCGCATTAACACGCTAGTGAACATTACGGGCTCCGTGCTCCACCTCAAAGATTATGCTCATTGGTGAAAGCGTCACGATACCACAGTTGCGTAACCAGCAGATATCACTGTACCTTCTGTTACAGACAACATCTTGAGAGGGTGGTTTAGTGATTTTTGGATATTCCTAGCACCAGTTCTCAGTTAATAGTAGTCGACTGACAGGGAATTACTTTTTGTTGAGTCCTTCAGAAAAGGCACAAGAAAAAGAGAAACTTCTTTGGGAAAAACTGTAACGTGGCGTAACGTAGTTATTTTCTTACTATGATATTGACAGTCATGTGCCGTTTTCAGGTGCCGAAATACGTTCTGTATGCACTGAAGCGGGAATGTTTGCAATCCGGGCTCGTCGTAAGGTAGCAACAGAAAAGGACTTTTTGGAGGCAATCAATAAGGTAGTTTCATTTTCCCATTATCCGTGCTATCTAAATTCTGTATTTCTTATTGAAGTTGTTAGGTTGTACCCTTCAGCTGCTGTATTTAGTCGCAGTGGGAGGGTACGGGATTATTTGACGTGGGAAAAAATTTTCTGATTATACTTTTTCCCCATTTCTCACAAAGTTTTGCTTTTGTCGGTGGGGCGCTATATCCCAGAGCCGGATGGCAAAAGCAAAACCTTGGGAAAGATCGGTGCAAAGATGGTCGGAGGAAGAGGGATGGTAGTGAAGGAGAGAATGTGGATGTGGGTGGTCGTATTAACAAAAATTTTCCCCAACACTAGGACCTGTTCTGTCTGCTGTGCATCTACCAGTACTTCTCTTTTTGTTATCTGAATATAACCATTCTTCCTTTCCCGAGGGCATTCTCGGAATGTAATGTGAA